ACAACAACAACATGTGATTAGGTATTTTTGTCATGACAGGAGTCTAGAGCGAAGACTACATGGTGGAGTGGACCTGGGGGAGGGTTTATAAACCAATGAAAGAATTTTTCTTTTACTTTTCTAAGAGGGTAGTATACTAGGGGGGAAAGGTTAGGAGGAGAGAAAAGTGCAACAATGAATGAATGGAAATTCAAATTTTTACTGAAATTAATAATAAATAAATTAATAATAAATTTTAAAAAAAGGAAAAAAAATAATAAAAGCCGTTTTGGGAGCCTGAGACACACCTGACCAGAAAAGAATTGGTTTGGGACAGTGGCTGCTACAGATGGGGACTCTTCCCTGCTGTGGAGTCAGTGGGGGTCACATGCAGCCGTGTCTCACCACCTGCGCCCTTCTTAAAGTTCATTTATGTCATGAAAATGTTCTATAGTCGATAACAGTGATACTTGCACAATACTGTCAATACACTAAAATTCATTATGTGGGTGGAATTTATGGAAGATGATTTTTAGCTTTATAAATGTGTGTGTGTGTACCATCAAATCAGATCTGACTGGTACAGGAGATCGTGCCCCCTTCTCCAGCAGAGCATGTGGTAGATTCGAACAGTGCACTTCTGGGATTGCAGTGTATAAAATTATTTTTTAAAAATAAAAACTAAAAACAAAAACAAAAACAAACAACCAAAAACATGAAGTGGGAATCCCAAAAAGGAGAAAGCAAGGGGAAACATAAGGGAAAAGGGACAGTGCGCGGTCCCGTCCCTCCCTCGCCTTGGGCAAGGCGCTTCTCCACCTTGGTATGGCCTCACTGTCAACAGGTATGCCTGTCTTTCTGCACAGCCCTGTGTGCACTTGTTCACGTTCCCGAAGCAGGGCTGGTATGTACTGGCAGGCCATGGTGCTCTCCTCTCCTGTGAACCCTTGTTCCCTCTTCTAATGCCAGCATCTGGCCCGGGACGTGTTCAGTGAGTGCTTGTTGGCTGAATGAGCGAACAGCAAGGTACGGAGGAAGGGAAAAAAGTGGGGTCCAGAAAAATGACACACTCCAGTCCTAACTTCAGCTTTCTTCCAGGCCTCAGGCTGGGCTTTCTCCTGAGCCAATGCACAGAGAAGGAAACACAAAAGCTTCTCCAATTCCTGGGCCTGATGGTTCCCAAAGGCTAGTACAGGGTCAGCAGCCTGTCCTAGAAGGGTGTATGGGAAGTTCAGGCCAGAGTCCCAGAGACCTTCACTGTAATCCACATCCCCAGATATTTTGATGATATGACTTCCCGGGCTGGAAGCTCCATTCCCAATCCAGAATGCCTTTTCTTAGCAGGAACCTTCGCACCCAGTATCCTAAATGCATTGATCCTGTTACCAACATCGATACCCCTCCTCACTGCTTCCTACACTACCCACCTCTAAGAGGGGCAGCCAACAGTGAAAACAGCCCTCAGCACTCACCAACCACCACCCCTGCAGCCTTACCGTTTCCGAACAATATTAATGTTCTTCTCCAGCAGGTCATAGCGGATGTACTCGTTGGGCTCAAAGTGGCTCATGGCCACCTTGGCCCGTTGGCACAGGACTGAGGCCACATGGTACTGCCGTACACCCAGGGCTTTCTGCAAGAAGAAAGGTAACAGCAGCTATCAACAGAGTACTCAAGGTGTCTACTCCTGAGAACAAGCAGATCAGTGTGGTGAAAAATCAAGGAGTTAGAATCAAGAGTTGTGCAGGGACTGTGACCTCGCTTCCTCACCTCACAGGGACGGTAGCAGTCACTGCAAAGTGCAAAGGACGTACAGTCAGAATTGCTGGGATCAAAGGCAAGTTCAACTTCATGACATGTACCAATCCAGCACCCCACCCCATCCCACCATTTACCTCAGAAGATACAGAAACGTGGGAATAACCAGTTCTAGTGATCAGTAAGGGAGCTCCAGGGGTGTAGTCTATATATTGTGCTGTTCACTCTAAAAGACTTTGCTTCTCTGGTGGTTCAAATCCATCATTCTCTCTGCAGGAAAGGAGGGCAGCCTTTGCCTGTGTATTTACAGTCTTGGAAATCCACTGGAGGGTCAGCTGCATGTTAAAGCCACCTCAACAGCAACAGGAAGACGAGGCAGAATGGTCACGCATGTTGTTCTGGTGGCACAGAGAATTAACACACTACACTGCTAATGAAAAGGTCAGCAGTTTGCATCTCCCAGCTGCTTGGAAGGAGGAAAACAGACAATTTTCTCTAATAAAGATTCAGTCTTTTTTTTTTCTTTTTTTAAAATTTTATTATTATTTTTTATGTGTGTACCGTCAAATCGGATCTGACTGGTACAGGAGGCGATTGTTCCTCCTTCTCCAGCAGAGCATCTGGTGGAATTGAATCGCGCACCTCTGGGATTGCAGTGCAGCTTCTTGCCACTAGGCCACCAGAGCTCAGCAAAGATTCAGTCTTGAAACAAGACAGAGGGCCACCTGAGTCTGAGTGAGTGTCACAGGGAGGGTCTGGGTTTGGGTTCACTGATCATGCGAATACCACCCGGAGGATGAAACGGGAACTAGGTGAAGGCTTTCATTCAGCTGCAAAGTATTACCTAAAAGTGGCTGCTTCAACCAGTTTTTCTGGGTCCAGACTTGGTTCACTAAACCAAAACCAGGACAGGCCTGAATGTGTAAAATGTGTGTACACTGAAACAGGAAAATTTAAGGGTCAATGTATCATTAGAAACTTGATCCTCCTTGCAGAAAATAAGGGCAGCAACAACAAAATCTTTTAAGCATCAGAGAGGGAAGTAACAGTGTCAGCCAGACTAAAAAATGGGAGCCACCTGCACGCTTTGAACATGTTACTCTCCACAGTACCCGGGCTAATCATGAGATCTGTTCCTAACTTTGTCTTAGGAATTATAGGTCAGTTGGAACAAGTACACATGGTTCTCATTTAGCTTTACGTTAGTGCAAGAAAAGGCCTTTAAGAGGCCTTTTCCAGGATTTAAAAGCTGTATGTGCAGCAAGTGAAAAGTGATTGTAATGAGTAATTCTTTCAAGCAGGGACTGACTGTATCATTTCACAGTTAAGGCAAATTTACACAAACATAAAACCCAGACTGGAAACAGCTCTGCCCTGATCAAAGACTGTGGTGCCCGATGTGGGGCGAAGGTGCCAGCGCCACCCCTATAAATGTGTGGAGCTCTCCGTGGTCCTGCCAACAACCCAGTGTCTTCAGGCTCTTTACGAGGACTCACTGTGCTGCTTCCAAGTCTCCCATTTCCCTGGGCTTTGACTATAATTTCCCCATCCTGGTTACCTTCATGAATCACCTAAATGATAAAATCTTCCATCTAGTCATAGTTTTACTTCACTGGCCAAGACAGAAACAGTTTCCAGCCCTGTTTAGCGAGCAAATAGAAGTTGTCTGTTGGTCTGACATTTATAACCCAATCTCCCACATCAGGCCTCTGAAACGGCTCACTCTGCCTCTCTGACTCTTACTCCAAGGTTTCACTGACTGCACAATTTTTCCATTTCTATGAACTGATGGGATATTAATTGATACATTTCAACAAACAGATGCTGCCCTGGATGTGCTCACCCTGTTATGCCAAGAAACCTGGAGGACAAATGACCAGAAAAGATCTGTATTTATTCCCATTCAAAAAAAAAGTACCCAACTGAATGTGGAAGTTATTGAACAATATCACTAATATCACACGCAAGCAAGATCATGCTGAAGATTATCCAAAAACTACAGTACATCAACAGAGGATTGCCAGAAGTCCAGGCTAGGTTTAGACGAGGCCATGGCACTAGAGACATCACAGTCAATGTTAGATGGATTCTGGCTGAAAGTAGAGAGTACCAAACTGGTCCCTGGTGAAGGACATCATGCTTGGAAGAGTGGAGGGACAGAGCAGAAGACGAAGACCCCAGATGAGATGGACTGACACAGGAACTGGGGCAATGGGGGTAGCTGTGTTGGAATTACTGAGACTGGCTTAGGACTGCGCAGGGTTCAGAGCTGCTGTATGTAGGGCTGCTCTGGGTCACAGGCAACTCTACAGCACATAACAACAATAAAACATGCTGCTGAGAGCTGGACAATGACTAAGGATGACGGAAAAAAACATTGCTGCCTTTGAACTGTGGTGTTGAAGAAGAACACTAACTATCACATGACTGCCAAAAGAACAAACAGACGTGTCTTGGAGAAGGTAAAGTACAGAGTGCTCCTCGGAGGCATGGACAGCAAAGCTTTGTCTTGCATACTTGGGGCATGTTGTTCGGAAAGGCAATTACTTGGAGTAGGACGTCATGCTTGCAAAGAAGAGGGGAGAGTGGAGAAGAGGAAGACCCTCAGTCAGGTGGACAGACACAGTGACTACAGCAATGGACTTGAGTGGGTCAGAGTGTGATGCTGGCACAAGACAGGACAGGGTTTAGATCTGTTATTCATAGGGCCACTACAAGTCTTCATAGTTAATCTTCAGAGTGAATCTTTGTAGTTGACTGTACAGCACCTAGAAGCAATAAGGTTTTAAGTCAATCCCGGAGGGTCTTTCCTCTGAGGCATCTTTGGGCAGGCACCTTCAGTTAGCAAGAGTTCATCAACCACCTGCATCGCCGAAGGACTCTGAAGCAGGACCTAAACGTGAGCTGTTGCTCCACCTACACGGTAAGCTCCTGGAGGGCTGGGATCAAGCCCGAGTCAATCTCTGTATCTGAACTACCTTGCACATACTAGCGATTCAGTACGTATGTGCTGACTAGGTGGAAGACTGGATGTAAAGAAACCTCACATGACCTATGGATGTTCCTCAGAGTGAACGTGTAGACTGACTGACTTCTAACAGACACAATGAGATGGAAAGAATGCTGTGCAGCTCCTGAGACCAGGCCACAAAGGCGGCCGCTTCTGCCTAGTGCACACTCTCAGTCTCACTGACTGGCAGGAGACGGAAGCAGCCTTTGGGAGAGGCCCACCTAGAGCAGCAGAGAGGCCTCATGCGCACAACCAGCACCACCTTGCCAGGTACTGGGGATTGAATCGTGTCCCCCAAAACTCTGCTTACATAATGGTGTAAAGCGGCATTCTGTGATGATTCTTTCTAAGGGGCTGTAAATGGACTAAGGGCAGGATGCAACGTCCACTATTCCACCAGAGCTCTGAACCACGTTAGGGGGCTGCCCGGGGTGTGGCCTGGAACACCTCTGATCTCAGTATCACTGAGAATCAGCAGCAGTGGAGGTCATCCTGAGGACCCAGGTCTCTGTGCTAAGAAGCTCCTCAACACCAGGGAAGGCCAAGCCTCCGGAGCTCTTCAGGGAATGCTGAGCCAGCCGATGCTGAAGGAATCAAAGGCCTTCCTCCAGAACCAGCAGAGGGAGCGGGCCTTCCCCGAAGGCCAGCACGCTGAACTCGGACTTCTAGCTTCCTAAACAGCATGTGACCAAATCTCTATTAAAGCCTTCTATTTGTGGTATCTCTTTTCAGCAGCACTAAATAACAACAACCCAGGGCACGGGAGCGTGCCACCTTGAACCCTAGCCCACAAGCTCAGGTACGTGCAGCCCTGGCCAACATTTTGCATGATATGGAGCCAGAATTACAAAGCAAACTGCTATCAAATTCCTGGCCTGGAGGTACTGAGGGGAGGAATGGCTGTTACTGCTTTAAGTTTCTGAGTTCTGGGGTGATCTGTTAGGTGTAAGAGATGGTTGTGATGATGGAGTCTGAATTAATGTTAAAAGTTTGAGTGATAACCTCCACAGTGTGACCAGGGAAACAGAAATTAATTCAGATGACAGAGGGATGGGACAGGTGTTCCCCTTTGAGGTGTCCTCCCTGCCAAGGTGGCCAGACACTCAGGTTAAGGATGAGGCAAAGCTCAAGTCACTGCCCAGGTGTCTTCCTTAATGTCACTGGATAGTTAAACAGAAAACCCAAAACCCTAAGTCACAGGGCAGCGGAAACAAGCACAGCCAGTCGCTGGCCCTCTCGCCCCCCCCCCCCCCCAGGAGTAAGCTGCCCCCTCGCACACACGCTGGCCTCCAGCCCCAAATCCACACGTGGAAATATTTTCAACAGAACCCCATGAGTAGGTCCTGGTAACATTTTGTCCGGATTCTGCTAGATTCAAGGCCTAATTTGTTACCTCGCAGCCTATCCTTTCCCAAGTGAAAGCAGCACACCTTAATCGTTTAAAGACCTGTCACCAGATCACCTAACACAGCTTTCCCATTTACGTACTGTGACCCTGGGTGAGTCATGAACCCTCCAAAGTCTTTGTTGCTAAATAAATGAAGTGGAGATAAATTTCACTGAGTTAATAGCAAAAGAAACACTCTACCTAAAGTGTGCTGTAACTCGAGGAGATGGAGACAGAGTAAGAAAGCGTGGCCCCTTCTCTGGGCACTGCCTGCAGCAACAGGCTTGTTTTCCTTCTTGCAAAAAAGCTTCAAAGGCCCTGTGAGCTCACGGCTGTTTTCCAGAGCCTTGCCTCCTCGGATGAGTTCTGGCGGTCCCCCAGGGTTCCTGCTCCTCCTCCTTCACCTCTGACTAGGTCATTCTGAAAATCTAAGCTGATTTCTCCAGCTGCCTCTATCTTGTTGCTCTCCTTTAGATTA